GTAGCAGGTCAGTCACTAGATGAGCAATTGGAGAAATTCATGGATATCCCAACGGAACAACAATTGACGAAGGCTAATGCGGATTCACTAGTAATGGAGGTAACGGAATGGGAGGTATGGGAGGCGATCCAGCAGCTCAAAAGGCACAAGCCGGCAGGAACTACGGGCTTAAACCATGCCTTTTATAAAGACTTCGCTACCCAATTGGCACCTGGACTGGTCAAATTATATAATGCCATTATCAATGGAGATGGAGTACCAAACTCATTTCTAAGGGTGACGGTGCTCCCCCTTCGGAAAAATGGGGATTCTGATAATGCAATGGATTACAGACCCATTGCGTTGTTAAACACTGCGTATAAAATCTTTGGAAGGATACTGGCAGAGCGGTTGCATCAATTCTTACCCAAACTCATTAGCAACAGTCAACAAGGGTTTGTTCGGGGCCGTAGAATTGACAAAACAGTGACGATGCTGCGAGCTATCTTGAAGAACAGTGCCGAGAATGAAGATCTTGGGTCGGCACAGAGTGCAGGAACACTATGCTTGGATTTACGAAAAGCCTATGATACTTTGGATCGGACGTATATGGTAAAGGTTCTCAGAAAATATGGTTTCTCGGAAAAATTTCTTAATGTCATTTGGCAGCTACATGAAGGGACAACAGCACAGTTTTTGTTAATGGTCAATTATCTAAACAATGAGGGGGGGGGGGGGGTAAACTCCGGGATAAGACAAGGGTGCCCGCTTGCACCTCTATTGTTCATACTGGCTGCAGATTCTCTAGGTAGAGCGGTTAACAGCAACCCGAACATTAAAGTGATACGAATATCGACAACAGGAGAAGCACGGCACAAATTTTCAGCCTTTGTGGATGATAGCACCATTTTCATGAACTCAATGGAAGATATAGAGGTGGTAAAACACATTTTGAGGAAATTTGGAGAACTATCAGGCCTGCAGGTCCAAGACCAAAAGAGCTTACTAACTGGACTGAACACCAGGGGTACACCAACAAGGTGGGGTGGCTTTCCTGCCTTAGATCCGAAGGCAAATACCTGACAATTAGGGTACTGGGTTGGGAATGAAGATACAATGAGGGCAAACTGGAACATACGCATCGAAAGAATACAAAAAAGACTACGGGTGGCTACCCAAACGAGCAATTCGGTAGCTCAGAGGGTAATACTGTTCAATGTAGTGGCACTTCCGAGTATACTCTACACAGGAAAACAGTTCGTAGTACCAAAAGATATACAGCGAAAGCTGGAGAACATACAGAAACAATTTGTATGGAATGCGAATACATCGACGGAAGGAACGAAACACAAACTAAATCCAGCGCTGGTATTCACACCAAGGAATGATGGAGGCTTGGGACTACAGGATATTAACCTAGCGTTACAGGCAACCAGAAGTAATTTGGCGGATACGTGGGTACAAGAGATACAAGATGAGTATTTGACAGCGTGGCATGCAATGGTACACCCAGGGGAACGCTGTGAGGGATCCTTGTGCAGATTTAGGCTAACAACACGGGAAACAGTGCAGGAAATATTAAGAGAACGTAAAGGAAAAGGCACCCCGACTACTCAAGCAGCAGGAATTGCAGAATTATGGGAAGCACAATCCGAAGGAATGACACCTCCACCGGACGAAAGAGACAACATACAGACCAGAATAAAAGCAGGACCAGAACTTAGCTCGGTATATCAACTGGATGAGAGGAGAATGTGTTTCTCGGCAGAGGAGGTATCTGACAGACATTTATCGGAGGAACAGTTAGAATTCCTTCTAGAGTCACCGTGGCATGATAACGCGTGTGTTATTGATGGCAAAGGAAAACCACTTCGTCTAAGAGCTTTCGGAGCATTAAAATCAGCAAAACTACAAGAATTAAGGGTAGAAGTGGAAAAACCTAGCCCAAATACTAGAGAATTTGGAGCTATTATCACAATTCTAATGCAAGAAGGGAAGGAAGTGAAAAAATATCTACGGCAAGTGGCGAAATGGTGTAAAGTCGTGATGTTGAGTGTCAAAGGGAAGAACCCAAGAGCCCAATTATGGCAATCTCGATGCCCAAACTGCATACCACGTTGGAATGGTTCACTGGAAACACACCACAAGAGATGTTATGAAAACAACAAAAGAACGGACAATGGCGGGAGGTTATTACATTGCAGAAAGCCCAGGATGGGTTTTCCTGGTAGATACTAGGTATTCAGCCCGATTATGAGGAGACAGAAGACTTTGAACGAATACAAGAATGGCGTTTTCGAAGCGGTATTTCATTCAAGGCGAATTTGAGAACATCAAACTACCCTTTAAGTCTCTCAGTGGAATCGAAAGCATGGAATCTCAGCTTTCTTATCCGGAAACAACGTTCCAGACATTTTAAACGACAACTGAGGCACACACTAAAACCGGTGATGGAACAAATTGATCAGAACGAGAAAAAGTCAAAATGGGGGAAGGCAGCTTTGCTACAAAATCCACGGCAAGTATGGGCAAACGATGGGATGGTGACGGATTATTAGATATGGATGCTATACCGGTTAGCTTTGAGGAAACTAAACCTATACCATGCAGGTTGGCCGGAAAGAAGAGATTGTCCTGATCTGAAATGCAATTGCAGTCACGAAACCATAGATCATATTGTTTGGGAGTGTGGAAAAGCTCAGGCGGCATGGAAACGGTGGTTGGATCAATGGATGGGCCGATCAAGACGCCAAAGGAGAGGGAAGAGCTTCTTTTAGCCAATGCAATACTTACAGCACCGAAATGTCAACACGATTTCATGGCGAAAGCACAAGAATGTACGGCTAGGTGGACAAATGACCATGAACGAGTTATGCAGACACTGTGGATCATTTGGGAACTGTAACACCGGTGTTGCTCTGGCGGCTGAGAAACCGAGCAGTATTTGATGAGCTAATTGAATCGGAGGAGG